GGGGTGGCGCCGCGGGGGGGGGGGGGTGGTCCTCAGCCTGGCCCGGCCGGGGCACGCATCGGGGCGGGGGGGCTCGTTCGTGGCGTGTCCTCCACCCCCCCACCCTCTCCCCTCTTTCTGGAAGGGGCGACGGGTCCCCATCGCCATGGGAACATGACATTGTGCAGAAGAGCTGCCAAGCCCCATCCTTCCCCCCCCACCCCCGGCAACGTGGGTGTTGTTTTGCTGGGAAAGGAGGGTGCCTCGGGAGCGGAGAGGAGAGCTTGGCTCGGGCTTTGCTGAGGAGGCGAGAAGCATTCTCCCTCCCCAAATGCATAATGCTCGGCTGCCCACCAGGGCCAGCCCGCACCAAGTCACCAAAGACCCATGGAATGCGGGTCTCCAGGCAGGAAATGGTGGCAGGAATGGTGGGGGACACAGCTGAAACTCTGTTGGTCATGCCACTGGCCACAGGCCTTAAGTTTTAAGCCCAGGGCTGGTGGCAGGGAGGACACAAACAAGGGCTTGCTGCTCACAGGCTCCCATCACCACACGGTTAGGAAGGGGCTAAGCAGAGCTGCTTCTGCACAGGCAAAATGGCTTTGGATGCAGAAAGCAGGCAGGCAAATGGCTTCTTCCCTGCTCTTGAGGCAAGGTGGAGATGACAGGTGAGGAGGGCAGCACCAGGGAGTTGCTCTCCCGGCGGGTTTGTGTCCCACTGCACCCCAGAAAGGAGCAGAGAGATGTGGGATGGCATGCCCCGTCCTCACCTCCTCCCACACCCCCTGGCTGGGCTCCGCAAAAAGGGCTGGCACTGTGAAAGTTGATATGAAAAGTCATATTCTGCTCCAGCAGAACCTGATCCCAGGTGACATTCGAGTGCTGAAGTTTTGCAAGCTGGCTGTGCAGCGGGGTTTTGCTAATTCTACAAAATCTTGGCACCGGCTGCTTGCTCACTACGGGGGCTGTGGGCATGCTGCCCCAAACAGGGCTGGCCGGGGGGCCTGCGATGCCCAGGAGTGTGTGGCAGGGTTACCAGTGTGCTGCCATGAGGAGGGCAAAGGCCTGACCCTATCTGTTGTGGCGCTTGAGTATCGAATGGACCCAGGCTGCGGGATCACACACAGCTGTGTGTGCACAGCAGCACAACTACACCGGTGACCAAGGATGGTACAGACTGATGGTGCTGGCTAAGGACGGGATTAAAGGCATGGCAAAGTGGCACAGAAAAGCACCACTAACATGACCGGAAGCAGATCGATGCAACACAAACGTACAAACGCAAGAGGCGTGTTGCCACGTAGTCAGGGTGCAAATAATGCAAGCAGGAGAGCTGCATCCAAACACAGCTGTGAGGTGGGGCAGCGCATGGAACCATGTGTGCACTGGTGTGCACACACACACACGGGTGCCTTTCACATCTAGCCCCACATCCCCACAAGCTGTGTCTCCTCCACAGCCCCACCCTCACCCCAGCTATGCAATCAGAGGCAACCAGGGAATCCAAGCTCCAAGGATTGGTTTTTGGAGGCATGCGGTTGCCCAAGTACCATTGCAGGAGATTTCAGCTCCTTTTAAATCTGTGGCTGGTGGTGCTGTGGAGGCAGGTGTGATTGTGCAGTTTCTAGGCAGCGCTGGCAGCAAGTACCCTGCCTAGCTATTTGCAGGAGGCTCCTTGCAGAGGTTCTCCAGCTGGATAGTCCCTTCACTGCAGATTGCAGTCTGGCTGCCATCCATAAACCAGAGAAAATCAGTCCCCAAGTCATACGTAATGCAGAGGCCTCCAGATAGCGGCCAAAGGAAAAGAAAAGGGTGGGGAGAAGAAAATCTAATGACAGACAGGCAAATGGAGAGGGAGGCAGGCTGCGTTTGCAGCGGCAGGTGTCAGGCAGAGACACAGGCAGATGAGCACAAACGGGGGCGAGGAGGCAGCCAAACAGACACAGTGCAGCACAGCAGTGCAGATACCAGCAGGCGTGGTTCGATGCAGCAGGACAGTCGGACAAGCAGGCAGAGGCAGGGCACAGACAGCACTGGTAGGAGCTCAGATCAGCCAAACTGCCCCCAGCTCCTGTATGGAGAGAAAGCCAGGGCGTGTGGGGAGACCTTCTGCTCCGCTGGAGCGTGTCAGGGGCATCGCTGCTCCAGGACCATCCCCAGTAGCTGCAGGAGGCAGGCTGGGAGCACAGGCACTGAGGGAGGACCATGACTCGGGTGTTTGATGCTGCTGCAGCAATTAAAACCTGGCCTTGCTCAAGGACATCCTGCTGCAAGGGACGCCTTTCTTCTAGGAGAAAGGTGGG